TAGCACATGCTTATGAGATATGTGGATGTGTATAATTTGCATCTAAGTGCTTAAGTCTTCCATTTCATCTTTTGAAGGCACTTTTAGAATTCACTTTAAGAATGAAATTAGAATAAAGGATGTAAAAAGTAGCTCTGAGGGACACCTGAGTGGCTCAGTCTGTTAAGTGTCTGCCTTTGGCTCGGGTCATGATCCAAGTGTCCTGGGATTGAGCCCTGAGTTGGGCTCCTTGCTTAGGCGAGGAGCCTGCTTCTCCCTCTGCCTGCCACTCCCTCTGCTTGTGCTCTCTCTCTCTCTCTGACAAATAAAATCTTAAAAAAGCTGTGAGCACAAATGTAAAGCTAAAACATCAAGATAATTCAAATAAAGTAACCATAGAGTGCTCAGTCATAACACATGTAAGAAAGTCAAAACAATAGGAAATATTTGGTAAGAGTTGAAAGCACAGACTAAATCCGAGTGATCAATAGGTTGTAAGCTATGTGAAGGTAAAGATTTATATTTTATTCTATTAAACATGTAGTAGGTGCACAGTAAATATTTTCTGGGTTAATGAATGAGATGCAACAACTATTTAATGCAAGACCTAGAAAGGAGGAAATAAAGTTACCTACTTCTTGCCACAGTTTAGTAACTGCAAATAAATAGCAAATAATAATAATGTTTACAAAAGAAAAAAATCAGATTGACAAAAGAATTCTCACCTGTCATATAGTATCCAGGAGGTAGGAAAGCAATACTATTAGGATAAAGGGAGGACTTTGAACCCAGCCATGTGATGGCATTCCCAGAAAGTTCACCATTTCTTGGAAAATGTCAATCAAGGATATACTCAAGCAAAAGGAAAGATCTAAATAGGAAGACGAGATAAAAGAGGCAATCAAATATTCATAAAATACACAAATTTAAATATGTGCTGGCAAATATACGTGGTAGAAAATTTTAAAGTAAACTAGAATAAAATATTTTTAAATATTAAGATTCAGGGGCGCCTTTGTGGCTCAGTCGTTGGGCGTCTGCCTTTAGCTCAGGCCATGATCCCAGGGTCCTGGGATCGAGCCCAGCATCAGGCTCCCTGCTCAGTGGAGAGCCTGCTTCTCCCTCTCCCTGCCCCCTGCTGGTACTTTCTCGCTATCTCGCTCTCAAATAAATGAATAAAATTTTTTTAAAAAAAGTAATATTTCCAAAATTTTTGAAAATTTGCAAAAGCACACTGCTTTTATATGAAGAAACAATGATTTATAATAGTAACAGTTGCTATACTTGAGTACTCACTTTGTGCCAGATTGAACAAATAAGTAATTTTTCAGTAATTATCTCATTTAATCCTCACTATAATCTTATGAGGCTGGGTACTATGATTATCCCCATTTTGAAACTACAGAAGTGGCGCAGTTGGGACTTGAATATATGTCTAACTCCAAAGCTTGTGCCCTTGACCACTCTTAACTACTAAGAGACATTTCTGAGTTAATTTTCTTAGAACCAAGTTTTCCAAGAAACACTAACACATCTGTTTTTAGCTGGAAAGAGAAAAGTAGCAAATAAAGAGTTTGGAATTGTTCCTTTCTAAAAGGACAAGGAGGGGCACCTGGGTGGCTCAGATGGTTAAGCGTCTGCCTTCCGCTCAGGTCATGATCCCAGGGTCCTGGGATGGAGCCCTGCATCGGACTCCCTGCTCGGCAGGAAGCTTGCTTCTGCCTCTCCCACTCCCCCTGCTTGTGTTCCTGCTCTCGCTATCTATCTGTCAAATAAATAAAATCTTTAAAAAAAAAAAAAGTGTAAAGTTCTTGAAAGTCAAGGAAATGCATAAGAACTGTTTCAGGATGAAGGACCCTAAAGAGATATGACAAATGAAAGTAACATGTGATTCCAGCTCAGCCATACCTGGACTCTGACCTGTAGAAACTATGAGATGATCAACGTGTGTTGTTTTAAACAGTGCACTAAATTTGTGATAATTTGTTACACAGCACAGAACACTACTACATAGGTTGTTTTACTCATGAACATAGATACAAAATTCTTGAACAAAAGATTAACAAATAGAAAGCAGCAATTCATGAAAATGATGCTACATCACTAACAAGATAAGTTTATCTGAGGAATAGAAGATTGGTTTAATATGTGACCATCAATTATTAACCACAACAACAGACTAAAGAAGAAAAATCTCATGATTACCTCAAAAGATACAGAAAAACCTGATCACACTCAGTGTCTGTTCATGATTACAACTCTCAAAAAAACTATGCCTTTAGGGGCGCCTGGGTGGCTCGGTTGGTTAAGCGTCTAGGTCTCGATTTCTGCTCAGGTCGTGATCCCAGGGTCTTGAGATCAAGCCCCACTTCAGGCCTTGTGCTGGGTGTGGAGCCTGCTTAAGATTCTCTCTCTCTCTCTCTCTGCCCATCCTCACTCTCTCTCTCTCTCGGCCCCTCCCCATCTCATTTTCTTTCTCTCTTGGCCCCTCCCCCTCTCACTTTCTCTCTCTCTGCCCCTCCCCCTCTAAAGAACAACAACAACAACAACACTACGCCCTTAGCAAACATCATACTTACTGATGAATTGTTCAAACTTTCCTTGTTAGTTCAGGAGTGAGCTAAGGATGACTACTATCCCCACTTCTGTTCAACATTTTACTGGAGGGGCTAGCTAGTTCAAAGGGTAAGAAAGAAAAAGCATAAGGATTGGAAAGGAAAAAATAAAACTGATTTTTTTCTGCAGATGACTTCAATGTTTGTAGAAAATCTAAAGAACATATATAAAAATTAGACTTTGAGTTTAGAAAGGTCCCTGGATATAATATCAACATATGAGTATGAGTTGTGTTTTTACCTATAAGTGTTATCAATCATAAAATGAAATTTTAACAAAACTCCACCGATGAGGAGAAACTGAAGTATTTGGGAGAAGTTCACCGGCCGAAGGAGGAGCAGGGTGACAGGATTCAAGTCCTGCAGAATCAGCACTGAGGTGACTTCATGAAACCCCTTTGTTAATAGACCACAAATACAAAATAGCTGTAAGACTCAGCACCTGGTTGCCAGGATCCCTTATACAGGCATCAAAGAATGATCGTTCTTAATGTCTCCATGTAGCCTGAGCATAAATGCACTTGGAGATCCATGGGGTGCCTACTATAGATGGACTCTTCAAACCTTGCTTTTATGGCTTACCAGTACTATATCCTGGAGATAAATCCATATAAAAATTACATTTACTACATTCTTGCTTCTTTGAACTTTTTAGTTTGAGACCATTTCAAACTTAGAGAAGAATTGCAAGAATCGTACAAAGAACTCGTTTACCTTCACCCAGATTCACCCATTGCTGACATCCAACTGCATTTGCTTCATCTGTAGTTTATCACGTTATCCGCTTCCCTCCTTTCCTCATGTGTGTCTGTGTCTCTGTGTGTTTCCGTGAACCATTTCAGAGCAGTTTGCATAGATCAGGCCTCTTTATAAAGCCCTAGATCCGTCAGTGTATATTTCCTAAGAACAAGGACATTCTCTTTCATAAACAGGATACCATCTTATAAAAATCGGAAGATTCAACATAACATCAAGACAAAACTATTCATATATAATCCTATTCAGATTTTATCAGTTGTCCCAATAATGTCCTTTTATAGCAATGTTTTTATCCTGATCCAGGATCCTACCCAGGATTGGGTATGATATGTAATTGTCTTGTTTCTCTAGTTTTTTTGGTTTTGTTTTTTGTTTTTTGAGAGAGAGTGAGCAGGAAGGAAGGGGCAGAGAGAGAGAGGGGGGCAGAGAGAGAGAACCTCAAGCAGGCTCCATGCTCGCAGCCCAGAGCCCAATGCAGGACTTGATCTCACGACCCTGAGATCATGACCCGAACCAGATGCTCAGCCGACCGAGCCACTCAGGCGTCCCTCGTTTATTTTTTAATCTGCAATGGTTCTCAGCCTTCTTTATCTTTCCTGATATTTATATTTTTGAAGAGTTTTTTTCTTTTATAACCTCATTCATTTTACTTGATGCAGAGCTGAGAAAAGATAAATTGGATTGGCCCTAAAGGCTCTTTCTTCACCTACTCCCTACAGATTCTGAGTTCACTCAAAGAAAGAACAAGCGGGTAGCAGCTTTGAGCTGCAGAGGCTCCCCTTTCTAACAAGACCACTTCCTGACCAGGTTGCTTTCGAGGCTCCACGGTTGTACCTACTCTCCGACCCCTTTTGATCTAAATAGTGCGGGGGGAGGGGGGGCAGGGCGGGGAGTGGCCCTCTTCACCAACGTGCCTTCTTAAGGACAGTTCTCTGTGAAAAAAATGAGAGCTCAGGAGCTCATGTGTTCTTTGCTACTTCTCAGCTTATAAATCCTTCTGTGATGAACACTTTATTTATATTTGCCCTGGTGACCCTAGAGGGATGTGTGTTTGTGTGTGTCTGCACCCCCTTTGGACTATAGTGGGTGACTGAAGAGAAAGACTCCAGTCTATCCCAATGCTATGCGCTTTAGAAGCAGCAAAATCCAACTGCTTCCCTTCCCAGGGTGAGAAATACTCCCTTGGGATCCTAGGAGTGATGTGATCCCCGGGAGTGGGGATGGGTGCCCAAAGCGGGCAGGGTTGCCAGAGTGGACTATGTGGAGGTAAATCTTCTGTGTATGTGTGTAATGTATATATTCAAGAGAAACTGAGTGACGGAGGAAGAGAGGTTATATGTTCAGTTCATTCTCTGAAATGTAATACTTTTATTTGAGAGGCATGAGTTGCAGAGGGAGAGGGAGAGAGAAAATCTTAAGCAGGCCTCATGCCCAGCTCAGAATCTGAGGCAGGGCTGGATCCCAGTTCCCTGGGATCACCATGACCTGAGCCGAAACCAAGAGTCGGGTGCTCAACTGACTGAGCCACCCAGGCGCCCCTGAAATCTAATACTTTTAAAGTTTTTAAGCAGCCGAGTAATGGTCTCTCGTGGCAACATGCTAGAATCTTGAGGGTGAATGGAAATGATTATGATGCATGGGAAACCCAAGTGGGAATGTACCTGAAGTACAGAGAGAGATCAGTCTGCAGCTACTGAAAGGGGAGAGAAACACATACACTTTTGATTACAAACAAAAGAGCCAGAGTAACAGGACTGGAGAAATGAAGTTAAAAGGATTCGATGTAGCTCCTGAGTAGAAGTGAAAGTCCAACGTGGTCTCGCTAAAATGACTTCACAGCGGCCCTTCCCTGAAGATGACTTCGGCATCTACTATGTCCTGTGAGCCACTTTCTACTACAGTTTTCTCGAGAATTCCGGGAGGGGGCCAAGGGGGTGGCAAAGGAATCGGGGGTACATGCCGCATTTGGAAGGGTTCCCTCAGGTTTGACCCCATGGAGGTCCCCCACAAGGAAGGGAAGATACATATTTGATATCTAGGCAATAGATGCCCCTAACGAGGGACCATGCGGGGCCTCTGATGACATCAGAAAACAAACATGAAAATGACCATCTGGTAATAGTGAACACTTTTCAAACTGGCAAAATTGCAAATAGAGGTACTGAGGTGAGGTAATGGTCTCATGGAGACCCAGTTTTAGATCCTGCACAAGGGAAGAAAAGTCATAAAGGACCAAGATGCCAGGCTGCCTTGAGCCACAGCCAAATGACAAAAGGAAGCCGTGAGTGGCGAGAGGAGGCCTCCCTGGGCGACTGTAGCGTTCTCCTACGCTCTGGGCTGGCCTGTGCACAGGACTCTCAAATTCCATAGCTTCCTGCTTAGGACATCCTACATCAGTCACTTAGTCAAAAATGTGTTTAAGTTCCCATTTATTAACTATGTAATCTGCGCCACAGGCCTCGCATCACTTAATCTAATCCTCCCACCATCCTATAAGGGAGCATTTTTCCTGTTTTTATAGATGAGAGTTCCAGGTCATGTAACTAGGAAGCGGCAGGGTCAGGATTTAAACTAAGATCTATTCTTTACAAAGTCTCTGCTCTCGCTCTTTCCCTGTACATGTGTGTGTTTCTAAGAACACATATATGTATGTAATATATGACATCAGAAAATGTATATCACAGATGTATGTAATATACATACATAGATGTGCTCTTAGCATGTGCATATGCCCTTAATACGTACACACACACTGTTAATATATGATATATAAATCCAAATAACTCAATAGGTAGGTAGGTACGATATTCCTTCTCTCCACACACTACTGCACATAATACATATATCGTAGTCAAATGACTAAACCATTTAAATGTGATCTCTCCTCTGTAAAACAGGATTTAAAAACAATTATACCTACCCCATAAAACTGTTGAAAGAATTAAATGGGAAAATGCATATTAACTACTTAACTTTGGGCCAAGCTCCATAAATGATAGCTATTGTTAGTATTAATTACTATCTATTGCAATTACTTACTACTAAAAATAATTACATTATTTGTCCAGGAAAGAAAAAGAAATACTTTGGTATTTATTTATTTAAGATTTATTTATTTATTTTAGAGAGAGACAGAGAGTATGTGGTTAGAGGGAGAGGGAGAAGCAGACGCCCTGCTGAGTGCAGAGCCGCACATGGGGCTCAATCTCATGACCCCAAGACCGTGACCTGAGCTGAAATCAAGAGTCAGATGCTTGAGTAACTGAGCCACCCAGGCGCCCCAGTACTTTAGTACTTAGAGGGAAATTTGCATTTTTAGCCAAGCAATTCTAGGTCTCTGAAAGGCCAATATTTTCTGTCCTCTTGCCCTGGTTTCAGGAAGAAATATTTACCTCTGCTTCTTTGGCTGCAGGCCCTGTTCAGAGTTCCAGAATAAGTGATGTGATTTTAGACCTCGAGTTCAAATACTTCTGTCTCTGGTCGGGAATGTATTCGACAGAAGTCTCATTGAGAACTCTCTGTGGCATGAGCTTGAGGGTGCCTTATTGTCGTGGGCACATAATCTGGTCGCTCAAAATGCTTTCCTTTCCTCCCACATGGCACCAACACAGGGCAGAGTGCACAGATCACTATGATACCTGTCCCGTGAACGAGGCCGATGAGAACCAGCCCCATTTCCAGGGAGTGACGGGCCTGCGGAACTTGGGCAACACGTGCTACATGAACGCCATCTTACAGTGTCTCGGCAGCATCGCACCACTGGTGGAATACTTTCTCTCGGGAAAATACATTACTGCTCTTCAAAAGTAAGACCATTTGTGTTCCCTGCCGCCCAGCCCGCACTCCCTGCTCCCCCAAGGCCAGGTGAGGGAAGGAGCCCAGTGAAGTCCCTCCTCGGGGCTAAACAAGAGCCCCAGAGGACCCCCCCCCCGCCCCGCCCGCCAGAGACCATTGCTAGGGTGAATAACAACGTGGGAAGGTCGCCTAAGAAAGGGAGCTTTGTTTTTGGTCTGATGCCACATGCTTGAGTTTTTAGGTGCCTCCCTGTCATTAAATCAGCCAGAAACATTCTCTGTTCCTCTTCCAAGGGATTGCAGGGAGGTTGCTACAGCTTTTGCCTATGTGATGACAGACATGTGGCTTGGAGACTCAGAATGTGTCTCACCAGAAATATTTCGGTCAGCTCTTGGCAACCTCTACCCAGCATTTATGAAAAAGACACAGCAAGATGCTCAGGAATTCTTGATTTATGTCCTGAATGAACTTCATGAAGCTCTGAAAAAGGTAAGTAGAATTAATGGCCTTTGAAATAAGATAGACCCTTCAGCTCTATCAGCAACTTTCGTTTTTCATTCTTTGGTCTGTTCTGTCAATATTGCCCCCTCTCTGCCAAGCACAGGTGCTGGGGGTACTGTGGGGCCACACTCAAGTTAGTATTTGAATTGGTCTGTATTTACCAAATAATCATCAGAATCACCTGGGAAGAGTTTCACGACACACATCCTAAGCCCCTCACTCTGGTGTTACTGAATTAGAATGTCTTGGGCTGTCCTTTGGGAAAGCTCACATGGTGTTGCCAGTGATCAACAGGTGTAGGAACCACTAGTCTGTTCCCTTTGCAAATAACATCTGCACAGACTCGTTTTCTAAAGTGAAAATCTCATTTTTTTTAAATAAAAATATGTACCTCATGAGATAAAACATATAGAGCTTTACAACTTAAAATACATGTTCTTGGTAACTACAAACCCAAGAAAATATGAAGCTGGGTATTAAAGGACAGACCTAAATACTGCAAAGTTTCATCTTCATGCCGAACATTCTGAACCGGAGTTCTTCACCAGATCAGGACATACAACATTTAATGAAACATGAGATCACCAGTTACGAAGGGTTTTACTTTTCTTTGTAAGACTCATTGCCTTCAGCTTTGATCTGAGTCACATACTCTCCAAAGATAGGTTCTTGGTTTTATGCAGTGTCCTTGTGCTGATGTTAGCTTTCCTCATACTTCCCATCCAGGAAATGCTTTGGCAAAAGATCACAAGCGATAGCCATTAATCATTCTCATCTGTAATCCTCAGTTCCATTTTTCATTTTTACTGCTACTAAGGTATTCACGGCAGCACTTTTTTTTTTTTTTTTTAGCCAAAGGGTAGGGTGGTGGTCAGTAGAATCACTTAGGTCCTCATCTGCAGCCAATCTGAAATAAATAACGTTCTCATTCCCAAGACCAAAGTTGGAATTAGGGGCATCAGGACTATCAGGTGGAAGACCTTGGTGGCAGAGCCTGACCAAAGCAGCAAGACAAAGGGGAGCAGAGTGCACAGGTCCAAGGCAGAGCTGGCTGTGGGCTAATGTGTCTTCCAAATGTCCAGTCTAGTGAGGCCATTCAAGCACCGAGAAGTCAGCCTGCGCCCCCAGAAATGGTACCCCTCAACATGAGCTAGATTCAAATCAGGCCACGAGGCTAACTTGGGCTGCCTTAAGAATTTAAGATTTGCTCTTTAAAAAAAAAAGTGTTTTCTAACAATAAAAGTAGAAGAGGCTAAATCTGAAGGGGCTGGAATGAGGACAGATCAGTTTGCATGACTGAAAGCTAGTTCAAACGCTTACTCACCCTCTTCCCAGGAAGAACTGCCTCTAGGACCCCGTATCACGTTATCACAGGCTGTTGGCTTCTGGGGCACGGACATGTGTTGTCACAGGGTTAGCGTGTCATCTTTCCTCAGCTTCACTTAAGGAGGAAAATAACTGAATGATCAGAAATCAAAACTAATATATACCTTTTTAAAAGAGATTTATTTATTTAGAGAGAGAGCACGAGGGGGGAGGGGCAGAGGGAGAGAATCTCAAGCATACTCCCTGCTGAACACAGAGGCCCATGCAGAGCCCACCGTGGAACCTCGCTGGGGCTCCATGCCGGGCTGGATCTCACGACCGTGAGATCATGACCTGAGCTGAAAGCGAGTCAGATGCTCACCTCACTGAGCCACGCAGGTGCCCCTCCTAATATGTACTCTTAAGCAGACCTTATTCTATGCATTGTTGAATCCAGAACTAACTGGTTTCTGGTAGCAATGTATCATTCTGATAGAACAAAAATCAAGTCATCCTATTAAAAGCTTTTTTTGATAACCAAGGGTTGATTCGGAGCTAATTTGTTCCTTTGATTCAGTACCATCGAAGAAGATCATACGAGAAAGGGTCTATTCCAAGATGCTGCAGGAAGGTGATGACCAATGAGTCCTCCATCATCACGCAACTGTTTGAAGGGCAGCTCAGCTACAGCATCATGTGTTTGAAGTGTGAGAGCTGCACCTACAAGAACGAAGTCTTCACCGTCCTCTCTCTCCCCATTCCATCTGAATACGAGTGCTCTCTTCAGGTAGCCATCCTTGCTCCTGGATACCACTTCTCAGGTTTCCCACATTGCCTATTAGGAGGGGGCTGCTTTGTCACTTAAAGCAAATTGGAAGCCCATGATAACAACATTTTATAGAAAAGCGACAGCCAAAAGTGACTGTGAATTTGGTTGTATTTCTAAATGTACTCATTAAAACAGCCTCAGTGTAAAACTGAAATGACCCGTGGGCTTTATTCATTCTACTGAGATGGCTTGGTGCATATTGGGAATTTACCTCTTGAATTTTCTTCACCATCATACCAAAAATTAATCTGTAAATCAGGGTGGTGGTAGAAGGCAGGAGACAGCTAGAAGGCAGGGAGCAATAAGTTCCCTTGCAGAATAATACCCATTATATTTTCTACCTAAATTATGAAAGCACAGCTGTGAAAAGTTTTCACATGCCAGAATTGGAGAACGGAATCCTACTACTTATTTAGAAGTGGGCTTTGTTCTCAGATTAAATTGCTAAAGATGGCGGGAAACAAATTCCCAAGACTCTGAGGTGCTGGCATGTGTACCGAACACAGGATCTGTGCTCACCTTCCTCTTCAGGCTGGTGGTTTGCCAAGCGGGGGGCCTGGCCACACTCACGGTGGCTTCTGTGCACAGAATCAAATTCTGTCTGTCTTGCTGTCTTTATAACGGGTCACCCCCAGACACCACACATGGTCATTTTTCAGTCTCCGGATCGCTTCTGTGATGAGGGGAGTAACATAAAACAGTTGCCTTACTTGGTTAGTGGAAACTGCACAGTCAGTATTATTCTGAAATCAACCACAAAGGTTAAAATGCTGATCCAGAGACTGGAAGTCTCTGGCACTCAGATCCATTTCAGTAACTGAGTGAGACAGAAGCCCCTCCTTCGTCAGGTAGATTTTACACCTGTCCAGGCAGCAGCTTGTGACACTGGGACCTCCTGCATATGTTGACTTTGAGGAAAGCACTGAGGATCACATTTCCACAGCTGTTGCAACGTTCTACTGTAAACAGAGCCCAGGCTGCACTTGATCCAATGTAGTCACCAAATGCGGTTTTCTTCCATAGGACTGTCTCCAGTGGTTTTTTCAACAAGACACACTGACCTGGAATAACCAAATTCACTGTTCCTTCTGTGAAACCAAGCAAGAAACAGCTGTAAGGGCCGGTATTTCCAAAGCACCAAAAATAATTATCTTTCACTTAAAAAGGTATGGATTTTGATGTTTTGTGAAATTTTTTTTAATGGCTTTATCAAGATATAATTCACATACCATGCAATTGACCCATTTAAATTGTACAATTCAGGGGCGTCTGGATGGCTCAGTCGGTTAAGTGTCTGTTGGTTTCGGCTCAGGTAGGGATCTCAGGATCTTTAGATCAAGACCCGTTGTCGGGTCCAAGCTTTGGAGTCTGCTTGAGATGCTCTCTCCCTCTGCCCCTCCTGCTCATGTGTGTTCTCTCTCTCTAAAATAAATATAAATAAAGTGTATAATTCAATGGTATTCAGTATATTACATTAATTTTTAATCTGTGATAAAATGTATGTAACATAAAATCTGCCATTTTAACTTTTTTTATTGAACTCTAAGAGTGTTATATTACTTTCAGGTGTACAATATAGTGATTCAGCAATTCTATACATTACTCAGTGTTCATCACGATAAGTGTACTCCTAATCCCCATCACCTGTTTCACCCATCCGCTACCCCCACACACCCCCATCCCCGGTAACCATTAGTTTTGTATTTGAGTCTGGTTTTTTGTGTTTTTTTTTCCTTTGTTCCTTTGTTTTGTTTCTTAAATTCCACATGGGGGGAAATTATATGGTATTTGTCTTTCTCTGACTGATTTCACTTAGCATTATACCCTTTAGATCCATCGCGTTGCTGCAAATGGCAAAATCTTGTTCTTTTTTATGGTTGAGTAGTATTCCATTGTGTATATATATATATATATATATGTATATATATACACACATCTTTATCCATTCATCTATCGATAGACACTTAGGTTGCTTCCATATCTTGGCTATTGTAAATAATGCTGCAATAAATATAGGGGTGTATGTATCTTTTTGAATTAATGTTTTTGTTTTCTTTGGGTAAATACCCAGTAGAGGAATTACTGGTTCATATGGTAGTTCTATTTTTAATTTTTTGAGGAAACTCCATACTGTTTTCCCCAGTGGCTGCACCAGTTTGCATTCCCACCAATAGCATACAAGGGTTTCTTTTTCTCCACATCCTCACCAACACTTATTTCTTATCTTTTTTTATTTTAATCATTGAGGCAGGTGTGAGGTGATATCTTACTGAGGTTTTGATTTGCATTTCTCTGATGATGAGTGATGTTGAGCACCTTTTCATGTGTCTGTTGGCCATCTGGATGTCTTCTTTGGAGAAATGTTTATTCAGGTCCTCTGCCCTTTTTTAATGGGATTATTTTGTTTTGTTTTGTTTAGCTTTTTTTAAGTAAACTCTACCCTGAGACCAAGAGTCCCATGCTCTACTGACTGAGCCAGCTAGAGTCCGTGGATTATTTGTTTTCTTGGATGAGTTGTATACGTTCTTTATATATTTTGGATACTAATCCCATATTGGATAAATCACTTGCAAATATCTTCTCCCCGTTAGTAGTTGGCTTTTTGTTTTGTTTTCAAAGCCAAATATTGTGTGGACTTATCTTCCCAGTGCAGGCCCCTGTGTCTGGGGAGCCTGGTGTGGAGGGTCCTCCTCTGCATTTGTGTATGTGGTGTCCCTCCCATGTGTGGTTAGTCTTCTGGAAAGTTCGGTTCCCTGCTGGGACTCCCCCCCTCTTACCCTTTTCCATGTGGCCTCCTCTCTACAGTTAACTGTGGAAAGTCTAGAATGCCAGGCTTTGGGTCATTTTCTGAGTTAGTTGCACTGATGTGGCTGTTATCTAGATGTGTGTCCAGGGAATGACACGATCTTTGGATCCTCCTATTCTGCTACCTTCCCAACAATCTTGGCATTTTAATGTTTTCAGTGGTCACCTTACAGTTTAGAAGTCTAACGTGGGTCTCACAAGGCTAAAATCAAAGTGTCTGTAGGGCTGCATTCCTTTCTAGAGAAGAATCTGATGCCTTCCCTTTCCAGCTTCTAGAGGCTGCCCAAGTTCTTTGTGTCGTGACCCCTTTCTACCATTATCAAACCCCCAACCATTTTAAGTGTTTAATTGACTGGCATTCATTACATTCACAATGTTGAGTGACAATCACTTCTAAAACTTTTTCATCGCCCCAAAGAAAAAGTCTGCAACCATTAAGCCATAATTCCCCATTCCTCCTCCCTCTGCAGCCCCTGACAATCTCTAATCTACTTTCTGTGTCTATAAACTTGCTTCTTCTAGGTACTTTGTGTACATGGAATCATACGATGTTTGTCCTTTTTACTGGCCTGTTTCACTTAGAATATGTTTTCAAGGTTCATCCATGTTGTGATGTGTACTGGAAGTTCATTTCTTCTTATGAACTGAGTAATATTCCATTGTGTCTATATCATATTTTGCTTTTTTATTGGTCCATTGATGGACATTTGGCACTCCCTTCGAGGGCTTTTTAAAAAATAAATTCCCTGGCCCCACCTTTGGGAATTCTGATTCCATAGGTTTGAGGTGAATTCTAAGCATCATGATTTTAATTTTTTAATCCCCTATTTTTATTTTATTTTATTATTTTTTAATGTGGTCTTTTTAAAAAAGATTTTTATTTATTTGAGAGAGGGAGTGAGAGAGAGAGAGAGCACAGGAGCAGGGGAAGAGGGAGAAGGAGAAGGAGAAGCAGACTCCCACTGAGCAGGGAGCCCGATGTGGGACTTGATCCCAGGACCCTGAGATCATGACCTGAGCCGAAGGCAAGATGCTTAACCAACTGAGCTACCCAGGCACCTCCCCCATTTTTATTTTAAAAACCTTCAAATCTACAGAAAAATTGAAAGGATATATAATAAATATCTATATGCCATAGAATCTTCATTAGTATTGGTGACACTTTGCCACATTTCCTTTCCCTCTGTCTCTCTCCACCTCCCTCCCTCCTTTCCTTCATCCCTTCCATTTTATTTGCTGAACATCTGAAGTAAGAAGCAAACAGCATGGCATTTCATGCTTAAATACTTCAGCAAAGGGGCGCCTGGGTGGCTTAGTCGGTTAAGCGGCTGCCTTTGGCTCAGGTCATGATCCCAGAGTCCTGGGATCAAGCCCCACATTGGGCTCCTTGCTCTGCAGGGAGCCTGCTTCTCCCTCTCCCTCTGCCTGCCACTCTGCCTACTTGTGCTCTCTATCTCTTTGTCAAATAAATAAATAAAATCTTTAAAATAAAAAAATACGTACGTACATACATACTTCACCGTGTATCACCTGAGTACAAAGACATTCTTCTACATAATCACAACACCATTATCATGCTCTAGAAATTTAACAATTTCCCATCACCTAAGATCCAGTCCATGTCTAAATTCCCTCATCCTAAAAATGCCTTTCATAACTTCTAATCCAGTATCCACTTGAGGGTCATACACTGCATTTGGCTGTCTCTTTAGTCTCTTAATCTAGAACAATCCTTCCCCATTTTTATATATTTAAACACTTTTTTTTCTCATATTAACCCTTGGGGAGTCCATGAAATTTATTTATTTATTTATTTATTTATTTATTTATTTATTTATTTATTTATTTTAGAGGGATAGAGGCAGAGGGAAAGGGAGAGAGAGAGCATCTTAAGCAGACTCCATGTCCAGCTCAGAGCATAACATGGGGCTCGATCTCCCAACCCTGAGATCATGACCTGTGCCAAAACCATGAGTTAGAAGCTTAGCTGACTGAGCCGCTCAGGTGCCACCATAATTTATTTTTTAAAAAGCTCCATGGTGATTCTGATATGAGTTCAGATCTGGGAACTGCTGATCTATATAGCAAATAGAGAATGTGACAAGATTTTCAGAGAATTTTATCTTATTAAAGATATATTAAAACCTCAGAGCTGGGAAACGGGACACTGCTGAGACATGTGCTAAAATCAAGATAAGGAAAAGCTGAGTCAATCAATGTGATTTCTACTCCTGATGCCAAGCCTGGCTTTGTCTCCATTTTCTCTCACAGGATTGACTCTGTACCATCTCACCCCCTGACCCACACCCCTGGCACACCCAGTCTCATTTCGGGTGATGCTTGTGGATGTGCATATTAAATACATAGGTAAGAAAAAAATTATGTATAGGTCTGTGCCAAATTATCTTTCCAAGAACTTACTTTTAACTGTATTTCAATTTACCAAGGTATGTAGACTTCATTCCCGAGTGGTTTACAAACTTGCTTTATATTTCGCACATTTATTCTCTCTCCAGATTTGACATTCTGGGTACAATGAAAAGGAAACTGAGAACAGATATTCATTACCCACTCACTAACTTGGACCTTACTCCTTACATTTGTCCAGTTTTTCGGAAACACCCTAAATATAACCTCTGTGCAGTGGTGGTGAGTCAAATACTATTTAAAATAGCACAAATTTAAAGAAAACCATAGTATTATCTACTTGAATGCCCACTCTCATCTTTCCCTCAATTCTCCTATATTCTTTTTAAGGCAAAATATAGAGCCTGGAACTTTCTGTGTTGACTTCAAATGGTAGAATGATGGAAGAATACAATGTCCTGTTCACGGACTCTTCATTCTCCCTCTACTCATTGGTTATTTCAGATCTGGGGGCATTTGCAAATTAGGCTGTGGGGGCAGCAGAAGTTAGTATCGATAGCTTTATGTTGAGTATTCGTGAGCCACTCTATGGCCAAAGCCCCCTGACACTCCACACGGAATAGTCCCAGAGGAGTCACTGCCTGTGTGCATCTAGTCCTAAGGAAACTCTGTGGGGGGGGTCCCTTTGGTTCTAAGTCAACCATCATTATTGAGGATTCCCTGAAGGAAAGAAAGCATGGAGTATAATTCAGACCAAATCACCCAGAACTCCCCACAGCGTCAAACAGCCCCAAGCATGAAGCCGTTCTCCGGGTTTCCATTCTGGATCACAGTGTTAACAGTCTTTAGAACCTGGAGGTCCAGCGGGGTGCACAGCAGGTGGGAGGGCTCCCACCAGAGCCCATATGCGTCGCCAGGGTCCTCGGATACACCCAAGTCTCATTTGCCTATTCAGCTTGTTGAATTAATACATTGTAAAATGTTAGTCCCGCTCTTTAACCTCTTTCACATCTCAACCATACCTTCAAACTTTAAAAAACGATCCTCCTTTATTTTTCCTTCTTACTTCAGGCCTTGACATTCCCCTTCTTTCTCATTTATCCTGCCCTCACAGGAGCTTTTCCTTCTCTCACTTCCCTACTGGAGATCTAAAGTGACAGCCTCCTCTCTATCACATCAAATAGAGACTCCAAAATGACACAGGAATCGCCTCCCCTGTATTTCACTGTTTACATTTCTCATTGTGTTTCTTCTTTAAGAAAATCCAAAAGACAGAAAGCTGAATTTGTTTAAAAAAAAAAAAAGGTATGGGGGCGCCTGGGTGGCTCAGTTGTTAAGCGTCTGCCTTCGGCTCGGGTCATGATCCCGGGGTCCTGGGATCGAGCCCCACATCGGGCTCCCTGCTCAGCCAGGAGCCTGCTTCTCCCTCTCCCGCTCCCCCTGCTTGTGTTCCCACTCTAGCTGCCTTTCTCTCTGTGTCAAATAAATAGATAACTAAATCTTTTTTTTAAAAAGTATGTAATTACCTACATTAAGGGAAGATAAACATTTGTATAAAGTCACCCCAAGCCTCCTATATAAATTTGTAATCCTTTTAGTGTTTAAATTATTATCAGCTAATCGAGGGGCCAAAAGTTGGTTTTGAAAGAGAAATAGATTTAGACTTTAGAATTTAGAATCAACTGCCAGTTGATGATGGACTGGCAATAACAACTAAGCATCTTTGAAGCTATGATGTCCAGCCACAGGGAAAGGCCTAGAGTTCTGCTCCTCAAGCTGTAGTCAGCAGGAGCCCTGGCACCACCTCTCCCAAGTAAAGAGTTTCAGGCTCCTCCCGAGGCTTACTGACTCGGAACATGCATTTTAGCAAGATCTCCACCTGATCCGAATGCATATTGGAGTTTGAGAAGTATGCTAGACCTCAAACCGATATATTCCCAGCCTTTGCAGGAGCCCTCGAAGAAGAGCTTACTGCTTTACAAGGTGGGCTTTTTACCTGCCAGGTTTGTTTGATTTATTTTACAAACGTATAGGGCTTGCTATGTACGGGGCACCGTTCTAAGCACTTTACAAAGAATCATTTAATCCTTATACAGCCCTGTGAGGTAAGCACTATTATTATCATCCGCATTTTACGGGCTGGAGAACAGCACAGAGGGGTTCAATAATCTGCCTCAATCATATCGCCTACAAAGGGCAGAGCCAAGGTCTGAAGTGAGTCAGGCTGACCCCCCAGACAGTCCCGTTCTCATTACTCCATTATGCTGCCTCTGATAGTTAATATATATCTGCCTTCCTCCTGCAATTTCTTCTGTTTGTCCTAATTCTGTGCTTTGTAGTAATAACAGTAATAACATAGAATTACAATATATAGTATAATAACATACAGATAACAGTAGGTATGTGGCTTTACAGTTAAATACTTGTACATACATGTTAGCAAAATGGAACACATTCTTTTTTTTCTTATACATGATATTCCTTCAAATATTTGAAAGTAGCAAACATATGCTAACAGTATTTACTTCCTTCAACCCTCTTCAAGTGATTGGTTTTTAGAAAGACTTTTTAGGGGTGCCTGGGTGGCTTAGTCACTTGGGCATCTGCCTGCGGCTCAAGTCATGATCCCCGGGTCCTGGGATCAAGCCATCCAAGGGCTCCCTGCTCGGTGAGGAGCCTGCTTCTCCCTCTCCCTCTGCCTGCCACTCTGCCTACTTGTGCTCTCTCTCTCTCTCTCTCTGTCAAATAAATAAATAAAATCTTTAAAAAAAATAAAAAAAAAAGACTTTAAAATTTTGAAATATTTCAGGAACAGAAAACACGGTAAGTATTCACATTACCCTCCACCAATGTTAAGAATAAAATATCCTAGATAAAATTGTGTGTATGTTTGATCATCCCACTGCCCTCCACTCCCTGTTGTAACCACTCTTCTGAATTTGGGGTGTATTGTTTCCATGCACTCTTTCAGACTTTATGACGCAGGTATGTGTCTGTACATGCTATGTAGGATTGTTTTGCATGTTGTATACATATGGTCTCATACTGGACATATTCTTCTGTGACTTTTTTCCCCTCATGTTATTTTTATAGTCATCCACATTGATACATTAGCTTTAATACAGTCATTGTAACCGCTTTTAGTAATCCATTGTATCTATTTATTGTTTCTCCTGTTGCTGGGCAGTTAGGTGTTGCCAGTATTTTGCTTTTACGGTTTTATAGAATGCATTGCTATATGCTGACACATGAAACTTTGTTTATATATACATATCTGTGTGTATGTTTTCCCAGATGGCATTTTAAGGATATCTTACCTAAATCTCTCCTTTAATTTATTAACATAGCAAATGACATTGATTTTCTGCCTGATTTTTTTTTTTTTTTGGCTAAAAGTGTTTTTACATTTTTGTATTTTCACAATTGAGAAACTAATCTATAAGTTTCTTTCTCATACTGTCTTTTTCTGTTTTTGTTTTGGGCCTTATTCTAGCCTCATAAAAGGCATTGGCCATTCTATTCTATTCTCTGGCACACTTTGTATAAGATACTAATAATTTGTTTCTTTTCTCTTTTTTAAAAATATTTATTCATGAGAGACAGAGAGAGAGGCAGGGGCAGAGGGAGAAGCAGGCTCCCCGCAGAGTAGGGAGCCCGATGCGGGGCTCGATCCCTGGGTCCTGGGATCATGACCTGAGCTGAAGGCAGATGCTGAACTGACTGAGCCACCCAGGTGCCCCTATTTCTTCTTTTTTTTTTTAAATAAGCTTTTTATTGAAGTAAAACATACATACATAGAAAAAGCCATATCACAAATGTAAAACTCAATGAATTTTCAAAAAGCGGACTGGCCCATGGAACCAGAATACAGTTCAAGTAGGCCATCACTAACACCCTACGTAGCCTTGTGCCCAATTCTAGTCAGGGAAGCCACTGACTCCTGACAGGGTAGGTTTGGCCAGCTTTTGTGCTTTATGGAAATGGGATCATACAGCAGGTACTCTTTTGTGTCTGGCTCTTATCACTCAAAATTATGCAACGTTCATTCATACTGTCAACGCTTTGTGTTGTCCAAGCAGCCTATTTTATTTTTGATGGTTTCCAGTAGTTGAGGGTGTGTTAAATGTCCCAAAAGGGAATTTCTTGGCCAGCAGCTAGACTTAGACATACTGGAAGACAGGCCCTCAGGCAGCAGCTTTTACAGTATGCCAACATATACATACAGTTCTGTGGGACCACATGCATAAAGGCTTGCTGACCACCAAAGCCAAGGCAATCTGGAAGTGTTCCTTGGGCCACAGTTGGAAAAATCAGGACCCTAGATGAATGTAAAACCTCCCTTCTGGGAGATACCAGTAAGTTGTAGCAAGAGGGAGAACACAAAGATGCCGTCTACCAGCCTAGAGCCTTGACAGCACCTGTGTCGGCCCCTAGCTGTGCGCCAAACCTAAAGCCTTCTCCTCGGGCTTCATGAAGCCCCAGGACAAGCAAAGAGGCCTCTTTCACAGAAAGACCGGGCGGGGGGGTGTCTCATTCTGCTGTCTGTCCAGTGCCTTGGGGGTGATAGCCTGCCAGGAACTGTCTCTCTGATTGTTATAATCCTGTAGGGACCCAGGAACACAAGCTCCCCTGGCCACCAGAGCTAGGCAGTCATGGGGAATCCCTTGGATGGCATTCACAGAAACCAGCTCCACCCTGGGAGACGTGAGCACTCCGGAGCATGGCAGAGGGGAATATGAAGATGGCTCCCACAGGCCTGCAGGACTCCCCATGTGTGCTGAATTAGATGCCAGCCCTTGAAGCAGGCCAGTGCTTTAAAATGAGCAGAGGAGCTTCATTCATGTAAAGCCTGGGCACCTCTCAATTGGCTGCCTCCATGTTGCGCCCTGGGACAAGTGAGTCCGAACGCTTTAAGAGTCTCACGGATGATGGGCGCCTGGGTGGCTCAGTTGGTTAAGCGACTGCCTTCAGCTCAGGTCATGATCCTGGAGTCCCAGGATCGAGTCCCACATCAGGCTCCCTGCTCTGCGGGGAGTCTGCTTCTCCCTCTGACCCTCTTCCCTCTCGTGCTCTCTATCTCTCATTCTCTCTCTCTAAAATAAATAATAAAATAAAATCTTAAAAAAAAAGATTAAAAAAAAAGAGTCTCACGGATGCAAGCCCTGTGGGTTTTTGGTGAGTCCCTGGGAGGAGGTGAGCCCACGATTCTACATCACTATCTTGAGTGAGTACCCTTTTTTCCTTCATTTTTAAAGGGAATAATCAAGGATAATGCTTCTGTG